GCCACTTCTGCAGTCGTTAATCTGGGATCCATTTCGATGCTCCTCTTGACAGCCCTTTTTGTCCTCTCCAATGGACCCGGACGCTGCTCAGTTGTTTCATTGCCGTGTTTCCTGAACTGCACGAAGATTATGTTCACTGTCGAAAGCGGGATTCCCAAATTCTGCGAAATTTGCCGCTGACTTATTCCACCATCTGCTTGACCAACTTTCCTTTCTCAAACAAAATCTGACAATTCGAGAGAACCTTGAGTTCTAGGCATGTTGTAGCACAAGATAATTAGTGTGGACCATTTTCATTTATATAGTGCTCTGTGAACACAAATTAGTTAGCATAAATCAGTTAAATGACGAAAACTTAGGTGTCTATTTACTTGTGGCCACTCAGTGTATATGTACATATTTATAACATTAAATATTTATCTTCTTTAGACCAGTACAGCGACACCCCCAGTCTGCAAGGCATATTACTGACTTGTATTGGTTGCAATAAGATTTTTATAAACAGAACTAAAATTCAAAAATATGTATTTGCTACATTTTTATAGTTAAAATTTATTGTTCCCTTTTTTAGGTGACCCTCTAGGCAGCGGGGGCCATACTTAGTTGTGGGCTCTTGAGCGGGATAAACTTTGGTCAGTTGGAGAAGCAATAGCTACACCCGGAACTACTAGTTATTCTGAAGCACTCTAAATGACATGGGAAGAAGACTGTTCTCCACCTTCCACGGTTCTGCATTTTTTTTTACTTGAGTTACACCATTCGATCTGGCAGCCTCAATTTATTTAAGAATTGACTAAAATAAGGCAAAAAGAAAACCCCACAAAAAATTAGTTACGGAGCCAGGACAAAGCATGTTCAAAGGATGAGTGGCATAACAATAATAGCCAGTTGCTGACAACACAGTCTTTCTGAAAACTTTGCCTTTCTCAGCTTGTCATTGCTCATTAGCAGAACATTTAAAGTTACTTGGATTAGGCCTATGTGCGCTGCATACTCAATATAGCCACCGCTGCCCCTAGGTGCCAGGGTCCAGGCCCCGTAGACTCATGCGTTAACTGGTCCTGGGTGTTAACTGCAGTGTCAATTTTTGGTCGTATTATTTCACAATCTTCACATTAGCCTAAAATTATAATAGTAAACGTTGTGCATTGTGCTTGTGGAATTTATTATATGGCATGTTCATACAATATTTATAATGTTTTGTCCCATAACACTAGGGATCACAAAAATAAATGTGTACAAGCATATACCAACAAGGGAAATTAGGGGCTCTCGGGTTTGATTGAACCGATCTATTAGAAAATTTATAATAATGTGTATGAAGCCGTTCAGAGAATCTAAATTTAGATTTAGGACACATTCAAATTTAAACACTCATTTGAGAGTCGGAAGTATTGATCCAATCTACTAGAAAATTTATACTAACTAACGTGTATGGAGCCGTTTAAAGAATAATATAATTTCAGATTTTGGAAACATTCAAATTTAAACACCCACTTGTCAGTCAAAGGTTTGAGATTCTCTGAACTGGGTCCGTGGATTTACATGTAAGTCGCATAAACACGTAGAAGATTATTCAAAATGAGAACTTACGTTAAAATTTTCAAAATTGTCATACTTGAGTTCATAATGGGTATCAATTGGCTGCACGAATTTACTTCAAAATTTACATGAACATGTAAGTGAATTGTTCAAGGTAAAGTGTGCTGTTTATTTTTTAGTTTGTTTCCTGTAAATTTTCACGGGCAATTTTCCAGTTAAATAAATATATAAAACTTGAAGTTAACGAAGATTTGTAGAATATTATTTTAGAGGCAACAAAAACTGTACTGGTGAGTTTTTAGTTGCATGAGAACGTCCGACATTTAATATCGAATGAATGACATTTGTGAAAAAACAAATCTGTCTATTTCAGAGCAAAGCCACATGGGGTAACTTCTGTGTCTACCACAGGAAATCGAGCCCGGGATTTTAGCGCTGCAAGTCCATAAACTTACCGCTATCCCACCAAGGGACGAAGAGGATAAAAACATGCAGCTTTTCTTAACATACTTGTAATTTAATTACTAGTTTAATTATTTTCTACAGTATGGATAAGTTTTGGGGAACTTCCCGTCTCAGTTTTTGTATATTCATTAAAATTAATTTTAAATATATCACAAAACTTTAAAAGTTGAGTAATTCTTTCATGTTTTACTTAGACTGTGTCTCCTGTTGTTTATCCTTTTGTAAGTGAAAATTCCTTTAAACAGTTGTGTTGCCCAATGAGTCAGATTTACCCGGAAGTGGTCTTAAATTTTTAGTAAAAACAAATACACAGTGTATAATACATTTTAACTTATTATTAAAGAAATGTCAGTCATTTGCTAATTAATTTTTTTAACATAATGTTGTTTTTAGCTAAAATTAAATCAAATTTCTGTACTTAATTTATGGAGATCCTAAGTTACGTAAATTCCAAAAAATTATAAATAAAATGTTATGGAAAACAATAAAAAATAACGTCAACAGCTTATTCTTACAAACCTCAAATAGCAAATGTCTGTTAAATTTGAATTGCTTGGATAACAAGTGACTACAACGCTGGCCCCCCAGTGGCACAGCGGTATGTGTGCGGACTTACAACGCTTGAATCCGGGTTTCGATACCCGTGGTGGGCACAGCACAGATAGCCCATTGTGTAGCTTTGTGCTTAATTACAAACAAACAAATTAAAACGCTGACTTGACTTCATATAACACTGGAAATT